ATGGATGGATGGATGGATGGATGGATGGATGGATGGATAATGGATGGATGGTTACCATGGAGGAGATCCCTTCATCTCCCTCTTTGCTCTTCTTTGTGGCTTTCAGGAGGTTCTGCAGGACTTTGTTGTGTCTCGCCAGCTGTAAAAACAAACAAACATTTTGTTTACAGTCTGTAAGCCAATGACAGAACACTGTGAACTCCTCCTGGCAGCCAAGGAGAAGCCAGCGTGGGATCACCTGCTGAGCCAGGATGTAGATGTTGTGGCCGACCTCCCGTGGAGACACCTCGCCTTCCTCACACTCGCTCTCCTGCTGGTAGGCCTTCTTGATCACCTCCACCTGCACACACCACAGTTAGACTCGGCTCACCTCCACCTCCCACCGACACCAGCCTCAGAGTCTCACCAGCTCTCGCGGCCGCAGGTTGAACAGGATTCTCTCGGCATTCTCACTGTCGTGGCGACTCTCCATCAGGGCCAGCAGCAGCTTGGAGGCGTTGTCCTGGCAGCCGGGGAGAAGAAGCAGCATCAACATCTGGACTGAACCACACACTGAGAATTTGTGAGCAAAAATAAGAGGACAACTGGTTTTGTGAGGCTTCAGACTGGCAGCAGCGTCCACATACTGGTGGTCATGAACCAGATACCTTCAGCTGCAGAACCATCTCCATCTGGTAGCGGCACAGAGGACTGATGTCGTTCAGGATCAGGGCGGTGATGATGTCGATGCCGTTGGACTCATGGGTCACGATGCACGTCTGAACAAACACAGCAAACATCCTCGTTAGTGACGACGACACGCCAGAAACACGACAAAGACTCAACAGTTAGTCATTTATCATCAGTCACTCCTGGTTCTGGTGATTCTGTGGTTCTGTAGGTAACAAAGGCAGTAGAGATGCTGAAGGTACCACACAATCTGGATCGGTAGAGAATCACACGATTGTACCACCTACCAAACTGACATCATTACAAGGAACCAGACTCCAACTACCAGCTGGACTACTGGTCCAGAACAGACTGCTACCCAGTCCAACACCAGTCTAAGACCAGTCCAACACCAGTCCAATATCAGTCTACCTGGTTCTCCTGGCAGGGCCCCTGGCAGTACTCTGTGAGGGTCTCCAGCGTCTGGGTGATGAGGTGGACGTTGGACTCGTTGATGTAGAGGCCCAGCAGGCCCAGGCCTCCGGTGGTGGAACCACACATGATGTCCAGGAACTGGAGCGTCTCACACACCAGGTTGTAGTTGGTCTTGTTGTTCTGGCACCGAAGGAAGTTCTGCAGACGCACAGAGAGACACGGATAGTTAGTTAGTTAGTTAGTTAG